GCGGGGTTTCCATCATTGTTGGTCCCAGGATGGCTCGACTCCTGACCCTCATGATCCACCCCCCTTGCCTCTCAAAGTGCTGGGATTGTAGGCGTGAGTACGCACCCGCCCAGCTAATTTTTGTATTTTTTGTGGAGATAGGTTTTCACCATGTTGGGCCAGGATGGTCTCAATCTCCTGAACATCGGAATCTGTCCCACCCTCAGCCTCGGCCAAAGTGTCCGGATTATAGGTGTCGAGCACCATGGCCACCAGGCAATTTATTCTATGTTAAAAACACCTTAATAAAAATACAGGAAAGAAAATGGTAAAGAACAGTGTTTCTATATGCACTGGCAATCAACCATCCGTTCGAAATCTGTCAGAAAGGTGCTATGGAACAAGAAATGAAAAAGAAAAAGGCCGGTATGGTGGGATCACGCTGTAATCCACCATTTTGGAGGCTGAAAGGCAGGCTGATTGCGAGGATAGGAGTTCCCAGACCAAGCCTGGCCAACAGGTGGTCCTTAAAATACAAAATTTAGCTGCATGGTGAGCAACCGTGGCCTGTATCCAGCCCTACTTGATCGCGAGACTGAGGCAGGAAAATCAGGTTCACCTAGGGAGGTGGAGGTGCAGTGAGCAGAAGATCCGCAACCACTACGCTCCAGCCGCCCGGGACAGAAGCCAAACTGTCAAAAAAAAAAAAAAAAAAATTGGTAATTTACCGTTTAAATTAAATTAAATAATTACATTTACCAGAAAATTTCCTCTGGAAAATCACTTCTAAAAGAAATTGAACTTTAGTGGCTTTTATAACCTGAGCCAAGCCCATCCCTAAATAAAAATTCCTTACCCCTATATATTAATTTTGCACTAATTTAGCCATAAGAAATATGTTTCTCTAATTTCCATTTTAAGACATCTACATGCTGCAGAGGGTAAGCCTGTTACAATCTACAAGGAGTAAAAATTTAGTATATTTTTCAAATGTTATAACGCCAAACCCTTTTGACTCTGAATTCCACTTGGTGGAATTCCACAATATTTAATTTGCACACATGCAAAATGTCCTGTATAAGGCTTTCAATTAGCTATTGGTCTTGAATAGCCAAAGATTAGATCCCAACTCTAAAAAAATCCTTAATGGGAGTTAATTAGGCTCACTAAAAAAGATGCTTTTACTGGTTTAATTATGGAAAAATTTCTAAGTGAAAATAATATACATCTTTTTCTGGTGTATCCATATAATTATCTGGAAAGAATAGTCTAGAAAACTGAACAACGAATGGTCGTTTCAGAGAAAGAGAGCTGATGTGGTAAAAGAAGTGGAAGTCTTTATGCCATTTACTCTGCTGAACTTTGACCATGTGACTATTAACTAGTAAAAACACACACCTCTGCATACTATAGTTAGACAATTTTAGGGAGAATCATACTGAAAGTAAAACCAGGATCCTTTGTTAGAGATATCGAATTATGTAGCTTAATTTCTGATGAAATAGAAAAGTTTAAAGTTTGATCAGTTATTCTGTTTTTTTTTTTTTTAGAGATGGGGATCTCTGTTGCTCAGGCTGGTCTCGAACTCCTGGGCTTAGGTGATCCTCCTGTCTCAGCTTCAAAGTGCTGGGATTATAGGTGTAAGCACTGTGCTGGGCCTTGATCAGTTATCACGTTAAAGAAACAATAAATTTGGCCAGGCGCGGTGGCTCAAGCCTGTAATTCCAGCACTTTTGAGGCGAGACGGGCGGATCACGAGGTCAGGAGATCGGGACCATCCTGGCTACCCCCCCCCAGTGAAATCCCCGTCTCTACTAAAAAAAACAAAAACAGCTGGGCGAGGTGGCGTGGGCCCGCTGTAGTCCCAGCTAGTCGGAGAGCTGAGGCAGGAGAATGGCATAAACCCGGAGGCAGAGCTTGCAGTGAGCCGAGATCTGGCCACTGCACCCCAGCCTGGGGCGACAGAGCGAGACCTGTCTCAAAAAAAAAAAAAAAAAAAAATAAAAAAAAAAAAACAAACAAAACAACAATAAATTAATATTATAAAGATGTAAATTTATTCTAAGTCTACTCATGAGCCTCCAAACTTGGTAATAATGGAAAACATTGGTTGGAGAGAAGGAACGAAGATACATTGTAATAGGTGTGGTATACAACCATCAATCACCGTTTCTTGGGCAAATGAACTATTAGACAGGCTTCTGGGCCAGGTGCAGTGGCTCACGCTACAATCCTAATACTTTGGGAAAAAAGAGTGTGGGAGGATCACTTGAGCCGAGGAGTCCAAGACTTGCAAGGGCAAACATGTTGCAACCCCTGTCTCTACAAAAACAAAAATAAATTAGCTGGGCATAGTAGTGTGCACCTGCAGTCCTACCTACTGGAGAGGCTGAGGTGGGAGGATTGCTTGAGCCCAGGAGTTCATGAGCTATGATCATATCATTGAACTCCAGCCCGGCCAACAGGGTGAGACCTTGTCTCTGCGAAAAAAAAAAAAAAAAAAAATCCACACTCCCCTCCCTCAAAACAGGCTTCTATTTTGGATATTATTTTTAACTTATTTATACATTAAACATCTAATTAATCTCTTGAGATGCTGATTTATAGAAAAAAAGAGACAAGTTAATGATGGCTACCTTTGAAGTCAGGCTTAAAATAGTAACAATTCTTTGACTTTATTTAGCCTTTTTCAACTTCCATTGCATTTCCATACATATTATACTTTTTGTTCCCAAATCCTGTGCAGTAGATTTGAGCAGGTTTTATTTAGTTTATGTATGAGGAAAAAAATAAAAAGATACCTCAGAGAGGCTGATTTGCCTAAAGTTGCATGAATTTTTTTTTTTTTGAGGTAAGATCTTGCTGTGTCACCCAGGTTAGAGAGCAGTGGTGCCATCATGACTCATTGCAGCCTTGGCCTCCTAGGCTCAAGCAATCCTCCTGCCTCAGCCTCCCAAGAGGTGTGTGCCACCATGTCCCAGCTAATTTTTAAAAATTTTTGTAGAGATGGAATCTTGCTATGTTGCTCAGGCTGTTCTCAAACTCCTGGGCTCAAGCTATCCTTTCACTTTAGCCTCCCAAAGTGCCATGATTTCAGGCATGAGACACTGCACCTGGCCTAGTTGCATGATTTGCATGAGCTGAAACACAGTACTCTGGTGCTTTCAGTATTAGAGTTTTCATACTTTCTAATTTTACCTCCCTAACCTTCAGCCCCCGCTCTCTCTCTTACTCTAATATCTCACAATCAATTATTTTTTTGCTGTTTATATGTCTTCTAAGGGAAATGACAATTTTAACTTTGGTGTAATATTTATTGCACCTATCTACTTAAATTTTTTTTAATGTACAAAAATTGCATTAAAACATCAATATGCAATTATTTTCCCACCACTCAAAAATTTTAATATGTATTGAAGATTTTGGCAAAAAAATATGCAAAAGACAAGAAATATAAAAATAACTTACAACAAATTTCTAAAATCCCTCATATATTAAAATTGGTAAGACAAAAATATGATTTATAATACATGTTTGCCATTGTGTTATATATAAGAAAATAGTACTCATACTAAATTCAACCTACTTATCAAAATTCTTAATATAAGAATGAAAATATTCAAATGGTTATAAATAGACAGGTACTAAAAAGTTTCTTTTGGACAACATTCTTTGGTGCTGATAAAACTGCATGTTATTATCTATCGTAAAGTCTTTTGAGACTTTACTACATATCTAGTTACAACTGGAAATAAAAAAAATATAAATTGGATATGACTATAGAAAGTAGTTATAGGGTATTTTGATTTCATGGTGCTCAAATGTTTATGGACAAGTTTTACTTATTAAATTTTGAAATAACTACCTATTCTTTGGTATTTCTTATGTATGTTCCAGAAATTAGAAAAAAGTTACCTCCATAGGCAGAGAATTCAACTGTGAGTTGACAATTATTTACGATTGTCTTAACTGGCTGTTTCACAACATTATGGAGCTAAGAAAGGATGAAAGCTTACCACTGCTTGGATACCAGCTTGATAAGCAGCTTGGAATGTCAAATATATAACAAGAAATGAAATATTCTACTTTAAAGGAACATGGTAAGTAAATGAATAACATGGACACAACTTAGTATAAGTTCTTTAACCTAATAAATTATTCATTTGCAAATATTACCAAAAGTAAAAAAAATTTATTTTATAGAGTGGTTGATTTTTGTAATACATCAAAAACTGTGATGTTATACACTTCCCTATTCTCACTGCTTATATCAGTGGTTGAAGTTTCTCCCAAATAATTTAGTTTACATTTAAAGTGGCAATACAGATTTTACTTAATGGACTTAAGTTATAATTAGAAACCAGTTTTATATACAGAAAATCCATAAATATAGAACTTTTATTCCTATTTTATCCTTAGGCTATGCAAAAAATGGACTAAAAATTTTTCATTTGGGTCTTTGTAATAAACATGTAAATACATATTTACAATAGAGATGCTTCCTGATAGAAAGTAAACAGAAGTAATTTTGGTCTTCACTAGAATCCATCATATCTATTTTTGAAGATGATGTAATACATCATGTTTACTCAAAATTTGATTCCTTTTATACACATAATTTAAATAATTACTCCACTTGTACCATAATGCTTCATTCTGTATTTAAATTTCCTTTAAGAAAGATTCCTTGATCCAGTAGTAGGGAACTCTGTTTCTGTACAGTTAATGTGAAATTTTATCCTTCTGGCAATGTCACAAATACTGAGTCATTTAATCTTCATTGTTCATACTCCAGAGGTAATTCTTGAGTTATCTCACATGATGTAAGTACCATCTTTGCAGTATTTCATGGACTCCATTTGTTTTGTCATAGCAAGAACATCATGAAATCCAGTACTTAGGCCAGACATATGTTGAAAGTATGCCTCCTTTTCCACTTGAATTGTTAAATTGTTTACTCCAGCATCTTTAAGTATTCCTGTAACCTGTTATAAAAATCCATACATTTTGAAGCATTTAGAGTAATGCATTTACTACATATGTCTTAATATGCTGTACATTGTTGATACGGGTTGAGTATCTTTAATCTGAAAATATGAAATCTGAGATGCTCTAAAATCTGAAACTTTTTGAGTGCCAAGATAGTGCTAAAAGGAAATGCTCATTGGAGCATTTTGGATTTGGATTTTCAGATTAGGGATGCTCAACTGGTAAGTGTAAGGCGAGTATTAAAAAAAAAAAAATCCCAAATCGAAAACACTTCTGGTCCAAGCATTTTAGATAAGGAATATTAAACCTGTGTCACATTTTTTTTTTTTTTTTTTTTGAGACGGTCTCGCTAGTCTCGCTGTGTCACCCAGGCTGGAGTGCAGTGGCGCGATCTGGGCTCACTGCAAGCTCCGCCTCCCGGGTTCACGCCATTCTCCCGCCTCAGCCTCTGAGTAGCTGGGACTACAGGCGCCCGCCACCACCCTGGCTAGTTTTTTGTATTTTTAGTAGAGACGGGGTTTCACCATGTAAGCCAGGATGGTCTCGATCTCCTGACCTCGTGATCCACCCGCCTCGGCCTCCCAAAGTGCTGGGATTACAGGCTTGAGCCACTGTGCCCGGCCAAACCTGTGTCACATTTTTAAAATAGTTACAGGCCGGGCACAGTGGCCCAGGAAGGCTGAGGCAGGAGGATCGCTTGAGCCCAGGAGTTTGAGACCAGCCTGGGCAACACAGTGAGATCTTGTCTCTAAAATGAATGAGTAAACAAACAAACAAACAAACAGTTACAGTAGTCCAAGATAAATCTTCAAAGTAATGTTCATCATTTAGTTAGTTAAAATATTAGACTCTTTTAGGTCAGTAAATACTGATTTGACATTCACAGTAGAAAAGGAAAACAGCCATTGTTTCCAATTTGGCACATTTAGAATAGGGCTTTTAGTAACTGTTCTGACCTCTATCTCCAAACATAGCATATACCCTGCCAAGTTGATTATTACTAATTTAGGAGTATATTTATAATAACTTATTTTTTGATAAATCTACTGGAACCAAGATGAACCAAATTCATAAATGAATTTTTTACATTAACTAAAGCTTATCCTCTAAACACAAAACTTCATTAATTTTAGCAATTTTTAGATATAAAACAAATCTAGACATAAAAAGTAAGTGATATTATCATTACAGAGTTGGAAGATTAGGCTGGGAACGATGGCTCGCCTGTGAACCCGGCACTTTGGGAGGTCGAGGCGGGCAGATCACCTGAGGTCAGGAGTTTAGGGACTAGGACTGGCCCAACATAGCAAAACCCCGTCTCTACAAAAATACAAAAAAAAAAAAAAAAAAAAATAGGCGGGCATGGTGACGGGTGCCTATAATTCCTAGCGATTGGGAGGCTGAGGTAGGGAGAACTGCTTGATCCCAGGAGGCGGAGGTTGCAGTGGGGCCGAGATCATGCCACTGCACTCCAGCCTGGGCAACAGAGTGAGACCCTGTCTCAAAAAAAAAAAAAAAAGAGTTGGAAGATTGATATTTTGAATAGTAAATGACTACTGAGCCATATAACTTATGAGGTATACAATTTGGGGTATGAATTACCTCAATTGAAAATTACTTTAAAAACAAAATATTTTACCTGCTGTACTATTCTTTGTTCTAGCACATCGAGATGTCACCTGTATATGAATCGTTCCTGCCACAATACTAGCAGAATGACGCCAAAAATGAGGGTCTCGTATGATATTAATCCTTCAATTTTCTGTATCTGTCAAATAAAAGAGGTGATATAAATGGTCATACAGGCTACTTTACACAACACAATGGAGATACTTTCTGACAGAAAGTAAACACACAGGTTCCTTGGTCCAAGATCACTATTAAGCTCTCATTAAAAAAACAAAAACAAACCAAACGAAAAACCAGCCATAATGAGGAGAAGCCAGAAGCAGGAAGGAATAGAAGATGGGGAAATTAGCTTAAAGTAAAAGGTGCCTAAAATATTCTGATCTATTTCTGGAGGCTACAGATGTGTGGGGGAAAAAAGATATCTCACCTAGGAATGATGCTCGTATGGCAGTTTGGAGTTGGAAGGCAAATGGGTCTTACAGGTATCTTTATTTTGTTTGTTTTGTGTTTTTTTTGAGACGGAGTCTTGCTCTGTCGCCAGGCTGGAGTGCAGTGGCACCATCTCGGCTCACTGCAACCTCTGCCTCCTGGGTTCAAGCAATTCTCCTGCCTCAGCCTCCCAAGTAGCTGGGGACTATAGGCGCACGCCACCACGTCTGGCTTCTGGTTTCAAGTATATTAAAAAGGCTTTCCCTATCTTCGTGATTATAAACATATTTTTTCTGGCCAGGCGTGGTGGCTCACACCTCTAATCCCAGCACCTTGGGAGGCCGAGGTGGGTGGATAGCTTGAGGTCAGGAGTTCAAGTCCAGCCTCGGCCAAACTATGGCGAAACCCCGTCTGTACTAAAATATAAAAATTAGCTGGGTGTAGTAGGCCTGTAATCCCAGCAACTTGGGAGGCTGAGGCAGGAGAATCGCTTGAACGTGGGAGGCGGAGGTTGCAGTGAGTTGGGATCGTGCCCCTCCACTCCAGCCTGGCAATAGAGCAAGACTCCGTCTCAAAAAACAAACAAAAATATTTTTCTGTTTAGTAGTTTCATAATTTTTTTGTCATTTACATATTTAATCCACTGGAAATGTATTTTTATGTAATATGGCATAGAGATAATAGCTTTTTTTCCCCCACCAAGTAGAGAATTAACCAAAAGTGGGTTGTTTATGTCAACTATTTCTCCCCAATGATCTAAAATACCATCTTTGCTATATACTGAATTCTATAAACTCCTGTGTCTGTTTCTGGACAACCTATTATTTTTATTTCTTCTTTTATGCTATATACCATAATTCTTCATTTATTTTCATTTTTTATTATTTCTTCTTTTACGGACGACCTATTATTATTATTGTTACTTTTTTTTTTTTTTTTGCACTGCCCAGGAACCAATCCCAGGTCACAAGAATGGGAACTTACTATTTTTTTAAAAGTTGATTTATGTCTTTATTCTTAGGCAAGGACCAAACTATTAGTTTTGTCACTTAATTCTGTTACTTTATAATTACAAAGTAGGATCCTATTAATTAATTCTGTATGTTTTCTTATTCTCAAGCACTAACTCTTCCAAGTAAGTTCCAAATAATTTTAGAACATCACAAACCATAAACAAAAATATCCAATGAAGGCAACTAAATTGAAATCTAAATAAAATAAAATCAACATCATTATAATAAAGAGTCTTCTCATCCAAGAAAATCTCATCCATCTACTCAGTCACTGTTTTATGTCCTTTAAATAAAACTGTATTTTTCTCATTTATACCTTGCATATTTCTTGTTAGGTCAACTTATTAAATTTTAAATGCTACCTTATATTTCTTTTTTGGCCTCTTTTTGTTTTGTTTTATTATTTATTTGGGTGTTTATTTTATTTCCAGCAAAGACTTCAAAAATGTGATTTTCAAGGAAGAAAGTAGTGAAGAAATTACATACAGTACCTTTTCTAAAGCAATATGTAGTTCTTTTTCATATTCTGGTGGCAATCTCAGGAGTAGAACCTGGCAGGCATCTTTAATTAGTGGAACAACACTGAGAAATATTAATACAGCAATAAAAAGAGAACAGAGCGGGTCAGCGATGAACCATCCAAACTGCTCTATAAGAATTGTGGATACAATCACACCAATGCTGCCAAGTGTATCTGCCAAAACATGTAGAAATACACCTACAAATAAAATATATAAGGACATTAAAAATTAAGGCACATCTAATTTAGTTTTTTAATACATTCTACCAATATTACTGGATACCTACAGTGTACCACATACTTTGCTACTGGCTAGTACTTCAAAATGCCTAAAACATGATCACTGCCCTCAAGGAATTCAGAATACAGTGGTAAAAATATAAGGACATGGGCATTCATGACACAGCGTGCTGAATTTTATGGTGTACTTTGTCTGGAAAGACTTCCTAAAAATCATACTTGAGGCAAGTTTTGACATTACCCAAATTACTTATATTAAGCAATCAGAATAAACAATTCATCATAATAAATGATTAGTACTTCCCTCCATTTTTTTTATAGTGCAATAAAAGTTTCTAAAAAAGGAGTAAGAATTTCCTTTTTGTAATGAGGGTTCATAATGGCACACTGTATTTACCTTGCAACTAATATCTATTCAGCTGTTACTATGAAAAGGACTCTATAATTATAATCATTTAAACACTAACATTTAAGAACAAATATATTTTCATTTTCTTTTTTTTTTTTTTTGATACAGAGTCTCACTCTGTTGCCCAGGCTGGAGTAAAGTGGTGTAATCTTGGCTCACTGGCAACCTCCACCTCTCAGGTTCAAGGGATTTTCGTGCCTCAGCCTCCTGAGTAGCTGAGACTGACTACAGGGCGCCTGCCACCACACCCAGCTGTTTGTATTTTTAGTAGAGACAGGTTTGCCCATGTTGGAGGACAGTCTTGAACTCCGACCTCAGGTGATCTGCCTACCTCGGCCTCCCAAAGTGCTAGGATTACAGATGTGAGCACTGTGCCTGGCCTCATTTTCTTTAAAAAAATTTTCTGTGACGGCCAGGCATGGTGCTCACACCTGTAATCCCAGCACTTTTGGAGGCTGAGATGGGCGGATCACCTGAGGTCGGGAGTTTGAGACCAGCTTGATCAACATGGAGAAAACCCATCTCTATTAAAAAAAAAAAACAACAAAACAAACCAACAAAATTAGCCGGGTGTGGTAGTGCATGCCTGTAATCTCAGCAACTCAGGAGGCTGAGGCAGGAGAATCACTTGAACCCAGGAGGCGGGGGTTGTGGTGGAGCCGTGATTGTGCCATTGCACCCAGCTTTGCAACAAGAGCAAAACTCTATCTCAAAAGAAAAAAAACAAAAAAATTTCTGTGACATCAGAATTCCTGCTATATTTTGATTTTCATTTTAATTTTTTTTCTGTGTTCTACAGCAAGATTCATTTTCATTAAAATTTTTAAAATTTTATTGTGGTAAGAACAATTAACAAGAAAATTTTAAGTGCACAAAACATTATCAATGACTTTAGGTACAATGTTGTACAGCAGATCTCTAGAACTTGTTCGTCTTGCCATTAATACTTTATACCTGTGGGTTAGTGACCTCCATTTCCCCCTCATCCTAGCCACCATCAATCTATCCTTTGGTTCTATGAATTTCATCCCATGTAAGTGGAAGCATGCAGTATCTATCTTTCCATGACTGGCTTATTTCACTTGGCATAATGTCCTTAAAGTTCATCTATGTTGTCACATATTATAGAACTTATTTATTTTTTTAAATTAGATACCATGCTAATCTTTGCTGTACTCTTCTAATTTTAGTATATGTGTTGCCAAAAAAAGCATAAAATGTTCCTTTTTAATTTTTTTTTTTAAATTTTTTGAGATGGAGTCTTGCTGTGTCTCCCAGGCTGGAGTGCAGTAGTGCGATCTTGGATCACTGCAACCTCTGCCTCCTGGGTTCAAGGGATTCTCCGGCCTCGGCCTCCTGAGTAGCTGGGATTACAGGCACCCGCCACCATGCCCGGCTAATTTTTGAATTTTTAGTAGAGACAGGGTTTCACCATATCAGCCAGGCTGGTCTCAAACTCCTGTCCTCAGGTGGTATTCCCGCCTCAGCTTCCCAAATTGCTGGGATTAACAGGCGTGAACCACCGCACCCCCAACCAGAATGTCCCTTTTTATAAAGGCTGAAAAATATTTAATTTTATGTGTGTTCAGGTAAGAGTATTTTCTATAGCGATAGCTTCAGACCTTTCTTTTACTCACAGATTGCTTTTTAAAAATCTTATCATACCAGAAGCCCAAAACTTAATACAAATAAACACAGAGGGTCAATTTAGAACACAGTCGAAAAGTAGGATAATATTTTGCAAGGACTCACCCCTCATGTTAGCATTCATGCCTCCGCCTGCAGATCCGTGGCTGTGACCATGCCCATGGTCACTGTGTCCATGCATATGATGTGAATGGCTGTGATCAGATGAGTGACAGCTTCCTTGAGAAGCTCCATGGGCATGGCTATGGGCATGGCTAAAGGCACAGATACCAATAAGGTTTACTATCAGCCCTCCAACTGAGACTGGCTAGCAAAAGGGAGAAAAAAAACCCTTTAAATTAGTAATTTAAAAATAAACTTGTTATTTAAAAGTTATTATATAGCTATATATGTTTTTCTGTTTACAGTTTTGAAAGTATTTACAGTAAAACCTTACTAGGTTTCAGTAAGTCCAAATTTTAAAAATATGAATTTTAGAACATTTTAGAAGAAACATTTTAACTTTCAAATATCAAGCAAAATTGGTAAGTAGAGGAATTTGGACTTATTTCAATTAAGAATGGTATGTACTTGGTTTATGGTTTATGTATAAATAAATGATGCCAAGTTTTGTTTATTTAAGAGTTTGAAAGTACTGTTTACTAGGGCAAGCATACACTGTACCTGAAATCTTGTTTATATTACTAGGTAAATTTGAACAGTTTATATGCAAATAATTATAATTTGTTAATGAGCAGATTCCAAATATGGTCTTATTATCTCTTAAACACAGTAAAATTTTCCAAAGTAAAACAAGTATAATGAAAAAGCAAACATACAATAGTAATCGCTCATTTATTTAAACTAAAAACAAACTTTTTTCTTTGGTAGAGACAGGGTCTATGTTGCCCAGGCTGTCCTCAAACTCCTGGGCTCAAGTGATCTTTCTGCCTTGGCCTCCAAAAGTGTTGGGATTATGGGATTACAGGCATGAGCCACTATGCCTGGTCTCTCATTTTTTTCTTAACAAAGTGAATGAAATTACTTTAATTTAATGGTGCCACAATAATACTCCAAAGGATAAACGAAGTTACTTATCCTTGATTATCTGCTCTTACAAAATGATCTTGAATAGTAGTAGCTCAGGGTGTTAATTTGTCTACATCTACAATTTAAAGCAATCCATTTGTTTTATAAAAGGAAAATATAAAGTGAGAAGGACAAATACTTTTAATTACTTTTCAAAAGTAGTAATTATTTACTTCTTCCTGTGATTGGGACCATTTGACTCCAGATTTTAATATGTCATTAGGCTTTATAAGCTTGTAGATGGTTAATGACTTTGAATGAAACCAAGTACTGCTTACAGAGACTCCATCATCTCATAAGTACTCCTTCTCCCCTACTGAAAAATACATCATCATTGTGTATTTTATCAGGAAAATAAAAATGCAGAAGATGAAAGTCTCCTATAATTCTACCACCAAGGGTTAGTCATGCTTAAAATGGTGTATTTTCCATCTATGTACTAACATACATACACCTAACACCCTTTAAAACCAACAATGTAATCATAATACTCTTTTACAATTTTTTCTTATTTTGAGACAGAGATTCGCTCTGTCGCCCAGGCTGAAGTGCAGTGGCACGATCTCAGCTTATTGCAACCTCTACCTCCCAGGTTCAAGCAATTCTCCTGCCTCAGCCACCCAAGCAGCTAGGATTACAGGCGCCCACCACCACGCCTGGCCTGCAGTTTGTTTTTCACTAGTACATCTTGTAAATATTTTCATGCCAGTGTACACAGATATATCTCATTCTTTTCAGTAGCTCCATAGTATTCTATTATATAGATAACAATTTTATTTAATTACTTTTGTCACTGGTAGACAGTGAATTGTTTCCATTTTTTCACTATTATAAATAAGGGTACAATGAATCATGTACTACTTTTTTTTTTTTTTTTGACAGAGTCTCTCTGTCACCCAGGCTGGAGTACAGTGGCGCAACCTGGACTCACTGAAGCCTCTGCCACCTGGCTCAAGTGATTCTCCTGCCTCAGCCTCCCAACTAGCTGGGATTACAGGTGTGTGTCACCACGTCTGGCTAATTTTTGTATTTTTAGTAGAGATGGGGTTTCACTATGTGGACCAGACTTGTCTCAAATTCCTGACCTCAGGTGATCCAACCACCTCAGCCTCCCAAAGTGCTGGGATTACAGGCGTGAGTCACCACACCCGGCCTGAATCATGTACTTCTATATGTTTGTGTGAATGTTTATGTATGATAAATATTAAATGTCAAAGGATACAAGCTCTTAAAAACTCAAAAAAGTCTATTTTTCCAAACTTATTCTAGAAACATTTTACTCATGTATGCTTCCACCAGCAAGACTCAGAGCTGCTTTTAGTCATTTAACAACTGAGTTCCTATGACAAGCCAGGTGCTAGAACTTACGAGTTGATAATACATAATTCAGGTCCTGAAGATACTTATATAATCTTAATTGTGGAAGAATGACAAATTAAATAACTGCAACTCAATGTTGCTAAAAGAAGAATGCACAAAACATAATGAGAATACTGAGAAAAGGAATCTAACAAACTTTGCGGAGATAAGAGGGGGATTAAAAGAAAGTATTTACAAAAATTAGCGGGGCGTGGCGGTGGGCACCTATAGTCCCAGCTACTCAGGAGGATGAGACAGGAGAATCGCTTGAACCCGGGAGGCGGAGGTTACAGTGAGCCGAGATTGTGCTACTGCACTCCAGCCTGGGTGACAGAGCAAGACCCTGTCTCAAAAAAAAAAAAAAAAAAAAAAAAAAAGTATTTCACTAGAGGAGACACACAAGCAAAATCTTGACGGAGGCTGAAGGGCAGAAGTAAGGAAAGGACATGCCAACTACAAGAAACAGCACATGTAAAGCTTTGGTGGTAGAGCGAGAACATTAAAAGTTGCTACAGCTGGCCAGGCACAGTGGCTCACACCTGTAATCACAGCACTTTGGGATGCCAAGGTGGGAGGGCTTGAGGTCAGTAGTTCGAGACCAAACCTTGTCTCTACAAAATATACAAAAACTAGCTGGGTGTGGTGGCACATGCCTGTAATCCCAGCTACTCGGGAGGCTGAGGCATGAGAATCCCTTGAGCCTGGGAGGTGGAGGTTGCAGTGAGCTGAGATTGTGCCACTGCACTCCAGCCTGGAAAACAGAGACTCTGCCTCAAAAAAAAAAAAAAAGAGAATTTCTAAGAGGAAGCAGTATAAATGTAAACAGCAAGATAGGAAGTCATGTTGATATAAATAAAAAATAAAATAAAATCTTCTTAGAGCAGTAACTACAAACAGTTAAACTTTAGGATAGAAAAAACTATGTAAGTATGACTAGAAATTCAAATAGGAAAATAAAAAGACTTACTGTTAACATGTGAGTGTCTAATTCTGGAGGATCAATCAATCTAGCCACTGACTCCATAAACACAAAAAACGCTATTACTATTAGAAAAAGTCCATTAATAAATCCAGACAGAATTTCTATTCGGCCGTACCTAAAAACATAGAACATTTTTCAGAAAAGAAAAATGGCAAATATTTTTAAAGTACAAACTTTATAAATGAGGAAACAAGTCCAAATTTTCATACTACTAAGTAATTAATAATATTAAAAAGTTAGCAGTATTTTAAATATCATATTAATGCCTGGAAGGTCCTTCATATATCTAGATATATTTTTTATATCTAGATATATATATATATCTGTTTGTGAAAATTTTACATATTCATCAAAGTCCTTCTTTACAGTCTCTTTTTTTTTTTGAGACGGAGTCTCGCTCTATTGCCCAGGCTGGAATGCAGTGGCACAATCTTGGCTCACTGCAAGCTCCACTTCCCAGGTTCACACCATTCTCCTGCCTCAGCCTCCCAAGTAGCTGGGACTACAGGTACCCAGCACCATGCCCGGCTAATTTTTTGTATTTTTAGTAGAGACGGGGTTTCACCATGTTAGCCAGGATGGTCTCATCTCCTGACCTCGTGATCCGCCCGCCTTGGCCTCCCAAAGTGCTAGGATTACAGGCGTGAGCCAACGCACCCGGCCCTCTCTCTCTCTTTTTTTTTTTTGAGACATAGTCTCACTCTGTTGCCCAGGCTGGAGTGCAGTGGTGCGATGTTGGCTCACTGCAACCTCCGCCTTCTGGGTTCAAGCGATTCTCCTGCCTCAGCTTCCCGAGTAGCTGGGGCTACAGGTGCGTGCCACCTGTATAAATAAAAATTAGCCGGGTATAAATAAAAAAATACCCGGCTAATTTTTATATTTTTAGTACAGACGAGGTTTCACCATGTTGGCCAGGCTGGTCTCGAACTCCTGACCTCAGGTGATCTGCCTGCCTTAGCCTCCCAAAGTGCTAGGATTACAGGCATGAGTCACTGTGCTCGGCCAAGGGAGCATAACCTTTGAGCTTAATTCCATTCAGTATTTATCAAATGCCCAATTAATATCCCCTTATTTACTTCACATTTTTTAAAAATGAAGATTTGGAAATTATTTGTACTAAAAGTAATATAAGTAATATAATTCTGTTCCTTAACATGGAATTTGCACTTAAGATATACCACCTCAATAGTCAATGTACCTACCCATAGGAGAAAATCCGAGTGGCTTTCCACCTACTCATCAGGGCAGCAAAAAGTCCCATGACCAAAGCAGAGCAGTCAAAGAGCATGTGAAATCCATCTGAGATCAGGCCCAGACTGTTCGTCAACACGCCGTAGAATAATTCCACAAAGGTAAAAAGCTAAAAATATCACACACACACAAAAAAGGGAGGAGTATGTTGGGAACTATGTTTCAATTAGGAGGATTTTAACCCTTAATTATCCAAATTTACTTGAAGATCTGCTATAATTGTTTAGTTATTTAACTGCCACTTATATTAGAAACCCTATTTCACACAAATTGTAAAAAACCAAGATAAATCCATTTTACAAACTATTAAATTGTAAAAAACTAAGATAAATCCATTTTATAAACTATTTAAAAATGGTTTTGTTTATATGTCTATAAAAAATAATAAACTAGGTTATAAAATGTTAGCAATAGGTGATTTGTAACACTGATTGCTAATAGTGAGATCCTGTAAGTTATTAGAATTCTTTAAATGCTACTATATTTACTGATTTGAAGGAACATACTAAATCAATGCTTCTAAAATGCCTCACAAATTGTTTGCTTAAATGGCTGGGCATGGTGGCACACGACTTAAGAATTGCCTAAGTAGTCTGAATATGATCTCGTAATCTTGCTATTATACTTAGAAGAAATTTAAATTTTAGCCCATCTTATTATCAGAAATTTGGGAAGTACTAAACTTATACAAGAACTGTCATAATTAAAATATTATGCTTTTAGGATATGCCAATTAACATTTAAAAATCTTACCAGATTCAAGCACAAGAAGTAAAAGATCTGCCTAGAGTCACTCTCCTCAAGAATTTGTTTTAGTGATTCCTTAATAAACCTAGGGATTGACTGAGAGCTATGCTGAAAAGCGTCACCCATGAAGTTATAAAGAGGTGTTCCTTCAGGAGAATATCCAATAAGGGTACCTTTTTGTCCTCTCTTAGAGGGAGATGATAGGATATTGGCAGCTACAAAGAGAAAAAAAGAATATTGTTTAAATTTTAGAAGTTTAAGCTACCAAAACCAACACAGTAACTGTCAGCACTAAATGCAAGCACTGAAGAATTTCCCAAATTAAGTAATGATTTGACCATCAAAATCCATAAATAGAAATTTGTTAAAATAAAAACAAGGGGGAAAATGCTTACACAAAATGAAGAATATAGCACTCACTACCACTCCTCCAGACAGGACGTGTTCAGTGCTCTCCTGGTGTGCTGCTTTGTTCATAGCCCGAAGCTGGTCTGTTATTGGATGTGTCCAAAAATTTCCAAAAAGGAGAGCACTAATAAAAATGGGAAAGGATCCATAACGAGCACATTTGGAAACTTCCATTTTGACTGAACAAATGGAATCCACATAGAAATCCAGGATCATGACAAAAAAGATAACCGTTGCAAAAGGCATAATGAGAGAAAACCAAGACTCGACTTTACTCTAGAAATTAAAAAAAAGAATTGTCAAGACTATATATGTATAAAGTTCACATCTTACAAGATGTTTCTGTTAATCTTTTAATATATAAATAATCGCATGATTCAATATGATTCATAATACGCCAACTTATAAAAGCTGTAAGATATTGGTACATTTTCTCAGTATTCTCCAAAGTTTTAAAAAACAAAAGCACTATTGTGTAATCATTCGATAAACACTAGGCGACACACAATCCTTAAGCCTAACACATGGTTAATTGCTGCTTCTTCAAATGATTCTTTTGGGCCATAGGAATGTGAGGGATATATAAATGTAATAGCCTTTGATTTGTATTTTCTATAAACAATAAAATTAACTCCAATTAAAACAAAAAAAAAAACTACAAAGAAAAAGCAAAGACAATTTAAGCCACTTTCAACCTCAAATTAAAATACAATTTATTGAATATAGTGAACTAAAAATTTAATAGCAATTCATTTTACTAGCAATTTAATAGCAATAAATCCTTACTCCTATCTTACCTCAGTTGTCACAGAAAGAACAATGACCCATGGGCACAAGAGAAGCACAGAAACAAGATGAGATAAAGCCTGAAGACGTTTAGCTCCACCAACGTCGATAGAGAGCTTTCTGGAAGCTGTATGAAAACCAACTTTACAACACAAAGCCAGTACTAGCAATAATACTCCACCCTGTGAGTAAAATTAGATAAGTCTCATTAGAAACACATACAGTTCAATAGTCAATCCTTAAATACATGAGGTTTTTTTTTTCCCCCAGAGACGGGGTCTTGCTCTGTCACCCAGGCTGAAGTATAGTGGCCTGATCACAGCTCACTGCAGCCTCAAACTCCTGTGATCAAAGAGATCCTCCTGTCTCAGCCTCCCAAGTAGCTGGGACTACTGGCACACACCACCACACCAGGCTAACATAATATTTAAAGAAATGGAACTAGTATATTTTTCCCATATACTGAATTACTTAACTACTTAAATGGCAGGCAATGTTATAAATTAATGGTAATTCTTTTTTTTTTTGAGACAAAGTTTCACTTTTGTTGCCCAGGCTGAAGTGCAATGGCGTAACTTTGGCTCACTGCAACCCTGGCCTCCTGAGTTCAAGTGATTCTCCTGCCTCAGCCTCCTGAGGAGCTGGGATTATAGGCATGCGCCACCACACCTGGCTAATTTTGTATTTTTAGTAGAGACAGAGTTTTTCTATGTTGGTCAGGCTGGTCTTGAACTCCCGACCTCAGGTGATCCACCTGCCTCAGCCTCCCGAAGTGCTGGGATTTCAGGCGTAAGCCACTGGGCCCAGCTGATAATTTATTTTAAATGTACCTTTAAAGTTATAGTTGCTACAACTTTTCAGAATCTTTTGATTTTGTTAGGAACAAATAAATCATACCTTGTGATCTGCCACACCTAAGAAGGCAATGGCTGTGTAAAGCATATGAGTTAGAGCACTGTCATGATGTCCCTCAGCTAAGTGAGTTGAAGTAAAGGAAGAAAAATCCAAAAAGTCACTCTTTGACACCTGAAGTTCTCCTGAAATTTTAGTTACACTATTTTGGATTGCATATAGACTGATCTGGGGCCCCCAAACCTAATTACTTTCAATAATGTGTTTCACTTAAAAACAAAACAAAATAAAACAATCTAACATTTAATTCCAGGACCTCATTTATAAATTGGAATGCCTGTATTTATTTTGTTGTCTCCAAAACAATTATAATAGTGCTTAAGATAAACTTGCCAGATTTTAGTAGTTAACCTCTAAAAGACATATTGCATACATACTTTAAGTACAACAAAGGTACAAGAGCAAGGAATCTCCCTGGACCACTCCTGTCCAGTAGAATTAAGGTTGCCCTTTAAAACTGACTTGTAAAATGAGTCCTAAATCTGTCTTCTAAGTCACTGACCACATAAATCTTAGCAGAGTAAGTAGCCAGCAAAAGAGGGTGGGCAATAGAAGTTGTATCACAAGCAACCTGGAGCTTTTCCAAAGTCATACTCTTCTCCCTCATTGTAACAAAGAAAATTATTATTAGTTTACTAATAAGTTTTAGGGCAGTGAGTATCAGTAATAGAAGAATAAAAACTGGTGCTTAGAGTTCTGCTGGATGGAGTGGGTAAGGATGTATGAATAGAAAATAGAAAAAAGGCATGTCTGTAGAGTAAAATGAGTAGATATATTTGACTAGAGAGTTGGGTTTCTACAAGAGAAGAGTTGGGGCTGAGCTAGAGATGATCATTTAGAGCAAGACAATGAATACTAGGTAAGGGAATTTGAACTTTTTCTTTCAGGCAAGAAGATACCAAAGGTTTTTCATTTATGAGTATTTAAATTGTTAAATGATAAGGGAGCAAACATTATGTTGAGTGGCAAATCACCTTTTTTTTTTTTCCCCAACACCAGGACATTCCAAAATATTCTTTCAATGTCCCTACCTTTCTGAAAATTTAGGGTACTGTAGGTCATACAGAGACGCTATAAAATATTTAACTTTTAATGAGTTTGTTCATTATTTGAATAGTGATTTAGAATATCTACATTAATCTATGAAAGTTTCATTCATCATTGATCAGTTTAATTCACTCATTCTTTCTTTTTCCATTGTTCCAGCCTTCTAGTTTTCTGCAAGACTTTAAACAACTCTGATCTATTCCAAAAGGATACGGTGTTCAGCCATTTTAGCCATGAGATCATCATTGTCAAAAAGCAATAAACAGATCACAGCAATAATGAAAAAAGCAGCTCCCCTTGTCTGAAAATAAAGAAAATAACATCAAGGATGACTTTTTCAAGGGTTGATTTTTAAGACCGTAGAAAAACATTTTCTCAAGCAAGCATTTACAAAAATGCATTAAAAAACTGAAAAAACATCTGACATTAAAGCTCTTAGATAAGCTTACAGTATTAGCAGTAAGACATCAAAGAGATATAAACTAATGATAACGTTGATTATCTCTTTGCTAACATGGCTAGACATATTACTGTGCTCAAATTGTTACTGTTTACAGAATCAATCTTCCTAAATGCTACTTTACTTTTGGTTGAAAAGCCCAAGTAGCTAAAGAATAACTAGTAGGAACTTGTTTTACTCTACAATATGCAAGGAATAAAGAATATTCTAGATACTACTCCTCTACAGAAGAATAATCCAGAGGGCATGGTAAAACCAGCAAAGTCATTTCTAAGATCTAGTAAAGTATAAAGTACTTAAAAAGCTGATAAACTTAAAATTTATGTTCTCATTCCAAGGAAAAGTTTTTTTTTTTTCCCCAGACAAGTCTTGCGTCGCCCAGGCTGGAGTACAGTGGCGTGAACACAGCTCACTGCAGCCTACAATTCCTGGGCTCCAGTGATCCTCTTGCCTCAGCCTACCAAATAGCTGGGACCACAGGCATGTGCTACCATGCCTAGTTAATTTTTTATTTGTAGAGACCAGGTCTAGCCATGTTGTCCAGGTTGAGGAAAAAGGTTTTCATAAAAGAAAATTATTAGCTTAGTTTATGTAAATATTTCAGAAAGGTAGCTTCAAGAGCAATCTAAATAGCATTACTATACATTCCTTTTTTTTTTGAGAAGAGTCTCACTCTGCTGCCTAGGCTGGAGTGCAGTGGCGCGATCTCAGCTCACTGCAACCTCCTTCTCCCGGGTTCAAGTGATTCTCTTGCCTCAGCCTCCTTAGTAGCTGGGATTACAGGTGCACATCACCATGCTTGGCTAATTTTTGCATTTTTAGTACAGACGGGGTTTCACCATGTTGGCCAGGCTGGTCTCGATCTCTTGACCTTGTGATCCGCCCGCCTTGGTCTCCCAAAGTCCTGGGGTTACAGGCATGAGCCACTGTGCCTGGCTAAATAGCATTACTATACATTCTATATTTACAAATTTACAGGTATAACATGTCTTGTATGATACATATACTTGTAGAATACCTATTATATATGGATACATAAGTGTATTATATATAACTACATGGAAGTATAATACAATACTTCTATTAAAGTTTACAATGCAAAGTGAGGATACTCTTCATTATATGATTACCACTATAATGGATAAATTCTCTGTTAGTGTGGTATTACAACAAAATTCAGTATTCTACACATAAGAGAAACCGTGTAATTTTAAGTTTCTTAAGTTTTCACTGAGTTAGGATATGGCAACATCAACAACAATCAAATACAGAGAACATAACTTAATCTTTTGTTAACAAAGAAGGCAACTGAGAATTTTGTAATGCTTCAGTCTCATAATCAAGAAAAAAAAGGCCGGGCACGGTGGCTCACGCCTGTAATCCCAGCACTTTGGGAGGCTGAGGCGGGTGGATCACGAGGTCAGGAGTTCCAGACCAGCCTGACCAATATGGTGAAACCCTGTCTCTACTAAAAGTACAAAAATTAGCCAGGTGCGGTGGCAGGTACCTGTAATTCCAGCTACTCAGGAGGCTGAGGCAGGAGAATGGCATGAACCTGGGAAACAGAGCTTGCAGTGAGCCGAGATCGCACCACTGCACTCCAGCCTGGGTGACAGAGTGAAACTCTGTCTCAAAAAAAAAGGCCGGGTGTGGTGGTTCATGCCTGTAATCCCAGAACTTTGGGAGGCCAAGGCGGGCAGATCACAAGGTCAGGAGTTCAAGACCAGCCTGGCCAACACAGTGAAACCTTATCTCTACTAAAAATACAAAAATTAGCCGGGTATAGTGGCATGTGTCTGTAATCTCAGCTACTAGGGAGGCTGAGACAGAAGAACTGCTTGAACCTGGGAGGTGGAGGTTGCAGTGAGCCAAGAGGGCACCACTGCACTCCAGCCTGGGCAATCCAGTGAGACTCCATCTCAAAAAAAAAAAAAAAAAAAGAAAAAGAAAAAACAATCATCAAATCCTGGACTGATGCCCTGATCCATTTCTCACACGAATGAGAACACTCTCATTTCTAGTTACTTAAGGAGGAAAACTTTTTTTTTTTAATGTTTGCAAGTCATTTTTATTTCTTTTGTAAGTTGTCATTCCCAGTTTTTTGCTGATTTCCTGCCAAGGATCTTAAACATTTTTTAAACTGAAATGGGTGATTTATACTTTGAAAGAAACGTAAAACTTATTTGTGGCAATTTTTGTTGTTGTTAGTTTTTTGTTTACATACTGATTTCTGTTATACGTTAAGTTTATAATCATTATGAAGCCAAATATAGTCAGTTTTCCCTTTGTGATTTTTTCCACTGCTTTTATGCTCAGAATTTTCTCCATCTATATATTTTATTCTATGTTTTTACAAATGTCTATTTTGTAAACTCACAAAGCTCTTCAATCCGTGAAATTTATTTTGGAGTACTCTATTAGTGAGGGGAAAGGATTAAACAGTGGCCCATGCTTTAATACTAATGACCCAGTTTGAAATCTGCAGGCAGAGTATTCTTTTACTCTGCTCTACTTGGCATATTACTTTGTTCACTTCATTACTTCATTTATCTCTCTCCACTACTTTGCTTGAAAGTCCCTTTCAGAATAGGGACTATTACACCGTATTTGTCTTTATGTATCCTTTCCTCTATGTCTAGGAAAATGCACCATGCACAGGAAGTGTGGGAGATCGGTCTCGGTAGTGGGAGAAATTACAGGAATAGAAGCAAACCTTCTTGGAAGGCCAGGGGGTTTTGCAAGTTTTGAGATACTCTGACTGAAGGCAGCCAGATTCTCTTATCAGAAGCCTAAAAGCTTAAGGCTTAGATACAAGGGAATGTACAGGGGTTTATCTAAATAACTTGTTTACTCATGTTGTCCTAAAACCGACCTTTGATCATCTGCGCTCAAGACTGCTCTCTACGTAGGGGGTCAGCAATGTTATTTACCCACAAAGCATGTTGATTCAAAGCCTTTGTCATTAAATCTATACTGAATAAATGCCCACAGCGCCAGCTTGTCAGAGCCGCAGCTGCTGACTCTTTATACCACCCTCCTTGGGGTCTGTAAGTGGCCTGGTCCCCTAGCCCACTCCTTCACTAAATACCTGTGTCTGAGTGCATTTGTCGTTCAGTCAGGGTCTGCCAGTCAGACCCAGCAAGGAAGTGTTTAATTTGGCAAAACAGAAACACTGTATAGTTCTAACAGTTTGGAACTGTAGATTGGTAGCTCATTTAACAAAAAGATAATACTTGAATCACTTAGGATGAATAGGAATACTTAGGTGGCAAAATGTTAGATAAATGTTCATCATAATTTAAATTTAACAAGTTTTTAGTTATTTTTCAAAAATGATTTACGGGTTTAAGAATGAGTAGGGGGTTTGGGGGAAAGGTGCATGAGTACAACATGAAAGAGATCATTGTGGTGATGCATCAGTTGTCTATCTTGCTTGTAACGGTTACATAAATCTACACACGACAAAATTTCATAGAACTACATGCATACATACATACATACACACACACGATTGTATGTAAAATTGGTAAAATCTGCGTAAGGTCTATGGATTGCACCAATTTTAATTTCCTGTTTTTTTTTTTAATTTTTGTGGGTACATAGTAGGTATACGTATTTACGGGGTACATGAGATGTTTTGATATAGGCATGCAATGTGTATAATCACATCATGTAAAACAGGGTATCCATCCCCTTGAGCATTTAGCTTTTGTGTTACAAATAATTCAATTATACTCTTATAGTTATTTTAAATGTGCAATTAAATTATTATTGATTATGGTCACCCTATTGTGATATGAAATACTAGGTCTAATTGCCCGGTTTTGATAGTGTACTTGAGTTGGTTAAGAAGTTACCTTTCGGGGAAACTAAATGAAGGGTGAGGGTCCTCTATGTACTATTTTAGCAACTTCCTGGGAATCTATAATCATTTCAAGATCATTTTCCACTGTTTTCATGTTCAGAAATTTCTTCAACTATAGATTATTTTATATTTTTACAAACATCTATTTTTGTAAACTTACAGAATTCTTCAAAACCAAAAAATATTTGTAAGAAAATGTAAAACTAGCAGAAAAAGCCCGTTTTTGTTTTTTGTTTTGTTTTTTTTTGTTTTTGTTTTTTTTTTTGAGACGGAGTCTCGCTCTGTCGCCCAGGCTGGAGTGCAGTGGCCAGATCTCGGCTCACTACAAGCTCCGCCTCCCGGGTTTACGCCATTCTCCTGCTTCAGCCTCCCGAGTAGCTGGGACTACAGGCGCCCGCCACCTCGCCCGGCTAGTTTTTTTGTATTTTTTAGTAGAGACGGGGTTTCACCGTGTTAGCCAGGATGGTCTCGATCTCCTGACCTCGTGATCCGCCCGTCTCGGCCTCCCAAAGCGCTGGGATTACAGGCTTGAGCCACCGCGCCTGGCCACGTTTTTTTTTTTTTTTTTGAGGCTGAGTCTCACTCTATCGCCCAGGTTGGAGCACAGTGGCGTGATCTCAGTTCACTGTAACCTCCACCTCCCAGGTTCAAACAATTCTTGTGCCTCAGCCTCCAGAGTAGCTGGGATTATAGGTGCCCGTCATCATGCCCAGCTAATTTTTGCATTTTTCGTAGAGACGGGATTTCACCATGTTGGCTAGGCTAGTTTCAAGCTCCTGACCTCATGTAATTCGCTCACCTCAACCTCCCATGGTGTTGGGATTACAGGCGTGAGCCATCGCGCTCAGCCTCCCTGCATTCTTTTAAATGGTGAAAGATAAGATTTTATTCCTTTGGATAATATATGACATACATACTTTCCATTTCCAAGTAACTGATAACGGAAAATTCTACCTTTGCTGGTCCTCCTCCAGAACTGGTGAACAAAACACTGAGTAGTGAAATGACAACAATATCACTGTGTTCAAATAGCAGCAAAGTCCTACAAAAATAAAACATTATCATTCATGAAATGTAATTTATCTTTATCAAGACGCATGAATTCAACTAGAGTTAGAGAAAGAAAAACATTTCCCCCTTGATTTCACAAAACATAAGAAAAATAAATAGGTACAACCGCTTTAGAAAATAGTTTGGCATTATCTACCTTAGAAAGACTGAAGCTACAAATACCCAATCATACCCCTCATAGAATTACGTCATACAGATTTCTTATTCTTGTATAGATATGTATCAAGTAACACTTACAAGGTTGCTCATACCAGTACTGTCTGCAGTAAGCCAAAAAATACAGGCAATGTGGCTGGGTGCAGTGGCTGACACCTATAATCCCAGCACTTTGGGAGGCCAAGGCAGGCGGATCACGAGGTCAAGAGATCGAGACCACTCTGGCCAACATGGTGAAGCCCTGTCTCTACTAAATATACAAAAATTAGCTGGGCATGGTGGCATGCGCCTGTAATCCCAGCTACTCGGGAGGCTGAGGCAGGAGAATCACTTGAACTCGGGAGGTGGAGGTTGCAGTAAGCCAAGATCGGGCCGCTGCACTCCAGCCTGGTGACAGAGCAAGACTTTAAGAATCTTTAGCAAAAAAAAAAAAAAAAAAAAAAAAGAAAAAAAAAATTTACAGGCAACGTATAGCCATGTGCTGTATAACATCATTTTGGTCAATGACAGACCACATATATACGATGGTGGTCCCCTAAGATTATAATTCAGCTGAAAAATTCCAATCACCTAGCGTTAATGCATTACTCGCGTGTTTCTGGTGATGCTGGTGTAAACAAGTCTACTGCACTGCCAGTCATATAATACAGTACATACAATTATTTACAGAACATAAGCCTGTATAATGATAATAAATGACTATGCTACTGGTTTAGGTGTTTATTATACTATACTTTTAATTACTTTAGAATGTACTTTTGCTTGTTAAAAACAAAGGTAACTATATCCTTTGACTTCAAATAGTGGTTTCAAAAAAAAGAGTTAACTGTAAAATAGCTTCAGGCAGGTCCGTCAGGAGGTATCCCAGAAGAAAGCATTGTTATCATAGGAAATGACAATTCTTTGCATGTTACTGACCCTGAAAACTTTCTAGTGGGACAAGATGTGGAGGTGGAAGACAGTAATATTGATAATCCTGACCCTGTGTAGGTATAGGCTAATGCGTGCATGTCTTAGTTTTTAACAAAAAAGTGCCAGGAGCAGTGGCTCATGCCTGTAATCCCAGCACTTCGGGAGAGCGAGAAGGGTGGATCCTTGAGCCCAGGAGTTTGAGACCAGCCTAGGCAACCTGGGGAAACCTGCTCTCTATCAAAAAAGATACAAAAGTTAGCCAGGTGTGGTGGTAGGTGCCTGTAGTCCCAGCTACTGCTGAGGCTGAGGTGGGAGGATCCCTTGAGCCAAGGAGATGGAGGTTGCAGTGAGCCAATATTGTGGCATATATTCTAGCCTGAACAACAGAGCAAGATCCTGTCTCCAAAAAAACAAAAAAAGTTGAAAAAAATTAAAATCAGAAAAAAGTTATAGAATAAGGATATAAAGAAAGAAAATATTTTTGTACAGTTGTACAATGTGTTTATGTTTTAAGCTGTTTTTACAAAAGAGTAAAGTATGCTAAGGTTAAGCTTCTACCTCCTAAGGTCAGGTGATCTCTTCCACCTCAGCCTTCTGGGTAGCTGGGATTACATGCACGCAGCACCATGCCTGGCTAATTTTTTGTATTTTTTGTAGAGATGGGATTTTGCCATGTTGTCCAGGCTAGTCTTGAACTTCTGGGCTCAAGTAATCTGCCCACTTCGGCCTCCCAATATGCGGGGATTAAAGATTTTGCAATTGAGAAACTGTATGATGGTTTTAGTAGAAGAATGAGAGGGCAGTGTTGGTAGTGATAAGGTTAGGAGCTAGATGACTAAATAGGGAGCCAAGTAAAAATGTAAGTACTTCCTCTTTCCCTCCTTATTGTAACACAAAAGGACAGTAATATAGTAACACAAGAACCAAAACATAACTTCATGAATAACAAATTTAAAATATTGCAGATGATAAGCAATAGCAGCACTCAATCATATTCAATTATATTCAAGCATAAGGTGAAAAACCTCTTCCCACGCTAGGAAATTCAGCTAGCTTTCTCACCCCTCCAAGCTGCAGCTGCGGCTAGAGATATGACATTTCCAATTATACCTACTCTGCATCTGACAAAGTACATAGCAAACGAGTCAAAGGGATCCCAATCCAGAAGCTATTCTATTGGCCATGAGAGGGGAAAGGACTTTTCACAAGGCATTTCCACACTTCTCACCTTTCACTTTCCACTCTGTCTACCCCACTATTCTGAGTGAGATCCTTTAGAACAGTGGTCTCCAAATCTTTTTGGCACCAGGGTCTGGTTTCCTGGAGGATAATTTTTCCAGACAGCAGTGGTGGGGGGATGTTTCAGGATGAAACTGTTCCACCTCAGATCATCAGACATTAGATTCTCATAAGGAGCATACAACCGAGATCCCTCCCATGCACAGTTCACAATAGGGTTTGTGCTCCTATGAGAATCTAATGCCACTGCTGATCTGACAGGAGGCAGAGCTCACGCAGTAATGCTTGCTCCCCCATGGCTCACCTCCTGCTCTGCGGCCTGGTTCCTACTGGGTTACGAAGCCATACTGGTCTGTAGCCAGGGAGTGGGGGATCCCTGCTTTAGGACATTCTTTTTTTTTTGAGATGGAGTCTCGCTCTGTTGCCTAGGCTGCAGTGCAGTGGCGTGATCTTGGCTCACTGCAACCTTTGCCTCCTGAGTTCAAGTGATTTCTGGCTAATTTTTGTATATTTTTAAATAAAGGCGGGATTTCGTTATGTTGGCTAGGTGGTGTCCAATTCCTAACTTCAAATGATCCACCCCTTGGCCTCCCAAAGTGCTAGCGTTATAGGCGTGAGCCACAGTGCTGGCCAAGAACATTCTTCATTTCACTCCTTACCTCTCACTCTCATGGCAAGGCATTTTTTCTTACACTTATTCACTAAGTAAAATCCTTCACAGATGGGGAAATGTTAAAAGAATGCTCATACACAGCTGCATGATACAACTCCTATCAAGTGGTTGCTAAGCATTTCCTCCTTAAACCAGTCCACTTGCAGAAAAAGACTAATCTATATAGATCTAGGGAAATATGAAATGGGAGTAGTTTACTTTATCCACCACGCATTTAATCTGATAACTGATATACTACTTCTGAGACGTTTATTTATGAGAGTACTTGCAAAATTGTGCAAAAAATGAGTGCTTTTAGAGATTTTATTCTTCTTATTGGCTGATTTTATTTACCACTTCAGACCTTTTATTATAGCTTCTAAGCTGTTAACAGGGATCACGAATAAATGATTAAAAAGCCATATATGCTAAAAATTTTCTGAAACTTGGAATTCTAACTAGTAGACTATCTATGACAAATCATGAATAAATTTATTAATGGTATTCACCAAAGAACCAGTCCAGAAACTCAACAGGTTTCTTCTATTTGTTGAATTCTCTCTGATGCTATAAAAGTGCCAGACACATTTGCACAGATAAATATTTGACATAAAACACAGTGGAACAAAAACAATATTCAAAATGAAGAAATACAAACACACATTCAAAATACGCATTTTTATTTACCTTAGTGGTCCACAAAGAGTGAGGCCAAAAAACCACAAGAGTGAAATAATACACCCAGCAACTGCATGTTTAAATATTTTGATCCACTATAAATGGAAACAAAAAAATCAAAAATTTCAGTCACATGTATTTTGCTGTATATTCCAATTTTAAATAAAATACAGAAAGATAATAACAAATATTTTAAAGGTGAAATAATTACGTATTTTGAAATTAAGTAGAACACATAAGATCCCTTGACTAAGTCTAGATTTCCAAGACAGTATTCTGGGCTGGGTGCGGTGGCTCACGCCTGTATCCTAGCACTTTGTGAGGCTGAGGCAGGTGGATCACCTGAGGTCAGGAGTTCAAGACCAGGCTGGCCAATATGGTGAAACCCCATCTGTACTAAAAATACAAAAATGAGCTGGGTGTGGTGGCAGATGCCTGTAATCCCAGCTACTCAGGAGGCTGAGGCAGGAGAATCGCTTGAACCTGGGAGGTGGAGGTTGCAGTGAGCCAAGATTGCACCACCGCACTGCAGCCTGGGCGATGGAGCAGACTCTTTCTCAAAAAAAAAAAAAAAAAAAGACAGTATTCTGTTTTCCATTATCTATATTCTTGTCTGCTAGTAGATTTTGAAATCTTTTTCTTCAGAGTACAATTTTATGATTTCTCAGTTTCTCACTAGTTTCCTAGGATCATTTAACTTTTTGTCTTTAAATTCTTTTCTACCAGGAATTTTTAGTGATCCAATTATCTGAAAGGAGAGAAAAAAGTTAAGATGGGGCTTAGACTGTTAATCCTATTTTAAAAAATGTTCTTGGTCTCTGAAACAGAAGTACTTAAATTTGTCTTTCTAATAAAAAAATTATGACACAGGTTTGTAAGTCATGGTATAAAGCAAACATGTAGTATGGTATAACTGCTGCCCAAAGAAGTGATGATGTGAGATGATTATGCAAAATGTAGGACAGTTCTAGTTTGAACCACAGCTGCCTAAAGAGAATAGTGACAATGATCATGAGGGTGTCACACTGTCACAATGATGAGGCATCATTCCAAAAACTTCATAAGTATTAATTCATTTTTTCCTCACAGTTCCATTAGGAAGTTACTATTATCTCCATATTACAGGTGAGCAAATTAAGGTAGAGAGAAATCAAGTAACTTGCCCAAAGTAAAGGTCAGTAAGGAGGACAGACAGAACATGCCTTTGACTCCAGAAACCTCACTCTTAACCCCTATGCTTTGTTAGCTTTCCAGTGACATTTGTACTAGGCTCTTGGGCATGCCTTCATGTCCAATTTGTAAATCTTTCAGAATAAGAAGTGTGTACTGAAGAAAACAATTACATGAATGCTTTATAATTTTTTTTAGCCTCTTAAAACATTTCATGATCTGAGTACTTTATGGTTTAAAGTCTCCATTCAGAAAAGACAAGAGCAAGTTAACTCTAAAATTGTTCTGCAGCATATCTTAAATTATTAAGTACCCATTATCAAAACATAAGCACTGCATCCTGGCCCACTAAACGAGAAGCTGCTAGGAATAAAAGATTCTGCAAAGATCTTACCTGGTGTTTGGTAATAGTTTTCCCAGAAGAAAATGGCTTTTGAAACAAAACCATAAAAAATGCAGTCCTGTAAATATTGAAACATTAATATATTAATATTAATCAATATTAGACACAAGATACAGTTTTAAGTAAAGACACTTATTTTAAACAAATATGCCAGAACTTGAAGTGTTATCCTCTGAATAAATCATACTGGAGAATTACACTCATTTTAGTAAAACTCCTTTTCAACACTTAGAGAACTTTTTTTTTTTTTTTGAGATAGAGTCTTGCTTTGTTGCCAGGCTGGAGTGCAGTGGCGTGATCTTGGCTCACTGCAACCTCCACCTCCTGGGTTCAAGCAATTCTCCTGCCTCATTTAGTAGAGATGGGGTTTTGCCACGTTAGCCAGGCTGGTTTCCAACTCCTGACCTCAGGTGATCCACCCCCGTCGGCCTCTCCAAAGTGCTGGGATTACAGGTGGTGGAGCCACGCGCGCCCAGGTGACTCCCAAGAGGTCTTTAATAGGTTTTTATTACAGAGAGGGGTGGGTCACTATCAATCTCAAGATCCAAGAAATCTTTATTTCAGGAATTTCTTATATGTAGGCTGGGCTGGTGGCTCATGCCTGTAATCCCAGCACCTTTGGGAGGCTGAGGCGGGCGGTCACAAAGGTCAAGAGATTGAGACCATCCTGGGCCAACATGGTGAAACCCTGTCCCTGTTAAAAATACAAAAATTAGTTGGGCATGGTGGTGGGCCACCC